TCCATCCTGCTGCCTCTGTCACGCTGCCTGGGGCTGGCAGGGAGGCCAGGGGAGTGAGATGGAACAGGGACGAGAGAGTGGGAAAGGGGGAAAGGAAGGGAAAACCTAGGGGGGGAACATTCACTATGGGGTGGTTCCCAGGGGCCGAGGGGGCAACTGGAACACAAACCATTTGACTTGGGAGTCTTGCACTGATGCAGTACTAAAAGTCAAGGCGAGCAAGAGGATGAAAGCAGGAGCACATGCACTGCTCTTGGCTCACAACAGGGAGGGTCCCTGGGGACGTCATCCACAGCCCTCTGTCCCCACGCAGGTTCCCTGGCCTCTGCCTGCAGCACGCTGCTTAATGAGGGCATCTGATTTACTATCCAGGAGTCTCCCAGGGTTAATTAAGAGCCTGCTGTGCTCCTATTGGCCATTGCTCCCCCTATAACATAAGTTAATTCACTGCTGTAATTAAATACTCAGTTGCAATTAACATCCGAGGCAGCGCTTGAGCCGGAGAGCATCGCTGGGACCATGCAGAGCACCAGCCGGCGCTACCGACCCCGCTGCTGAGCCATGGCATCCCTCACCCTCCCGCCTCCCACGGGGGAAGCATGAGGGGGGCTGCCCCGTCTCGCTCCCCAGACAACAGAGGGTTCACCACGGGTTTGTGCATTCAGCTCCAAAACCAGCCAAGTGCTACGCTCAACCCCCTGGCAAGCCCCTGTGGCGGGGAAGCAGGCACAGCCGTTCCCGGGGGCTGGTGGCAGCAGGGGGTCTGTACTCACCGGGCCCCCCGCGGGGTCGCGGATGTAGCCGTAGGCAATGGTTTTGTCGATGGCAAATCCGAAGTCTGCCCGACGGATATGGCCGACCACCTCGCCGTCCCGCCAGACCGCCTCCAGGCCGAACATCGGCACCTTCCTGCAAGGCGAAGGCAGAGCTGCTGTCAGCAAAGCCCCACGTTGGGCCCCCATGGGGGAGAGGGGCTTGGGGGGACCAGACCCCAGCTCTGCCCTGGGCCAGCCCACGTGCCGGGGCTCCCACTGCCCACAGGTTCATTATCCTCCCCGTGCTGATCCCAGGCGCTGGCAAAGCCCCTCCAGCCCGATTTACAAAACCTCCCGCTGTTCTGGGTGAAACAAGATAAACCCACTCCCTGTCACACCATTTCCAGTTCCCATTAAACATCCAGCAGGGAATTTGCAGTGGGATTTAAATTAGAGACGGAATTAGAGCATGGAAAACAGCCGAGCCAGCTTGCAACTGAGCTCCACGTGCGTGCCCGGGTGCAGCAGTGGATGGGGATGGCTGGAGGTGCTCGTCCCAGGGTGGCCACTGGCACTGGGTGCTGCCCGGCGCGGAGCGGGGCCGGGCGGTGGTACTCACTCCTCGGTGGTGAAGCAGACGAGGCGGCGGAAGATGCCCTTGGCTTTTTGAGCCTCCACAGCCTCCCGGCCCAGGAAGGGGATGCTGGATTTGAGCTTGCAAGTGAAGGCTAAGCCTGCTTCTAGCGGGGTGTCATCAGGGCGCAGGTCTGCGTGCCAGTGCCTGTACCCTGCAGAGAGCAAGCATGGGTCGCCCAGCTTCTCCCTGCCATGGCAGTAAGCCCAGGAGACCAAGACATCACCCCTGCCTCTTGGACACCCCATTGCCTTCAATTCACTTGGCCTTGGACAAAACACCCTTGAGAGGAGCCCATGTTGGGGAAGTCTCAGAAAGGAGCGCTGGGGCTGGTAGCATCTCTGCCGGTAGCTGCCAGACCTCCAGCCACACTAGCCCGCCCTCAAAGCTGGGCAAAACTCATTTGCCCTGGTCCCCTGGCTGGAGGCAAAGCAATGAGCGCTGCTGTAAGGGAAGCAAGAAACCTTTCTCGATGCTGAGGCTGTCGATGGCTCTGTAGCCGGCGTTGGTAATGCCGTGCCGGGCACCCGCCTCCATCACCGCCTGGTAAACCTTCACGCAGTCCGCCTTGGGCACGTGCAGCTCCCAGCCCATCTCGCCGACAAACGACAACCTCATGGCACGAACCTGCGAAATGCAAGAGGCCAAACCCCCCTGCGGACAGAGCTGGGCTGTGCAGCGTGGCAGAGGCTGCAGAGACACGTGCTGCCATGGCAGGGGGTGAGCCAGCTCACCCGGGATCCTTGTGCAAGCCCCCTGCTTTGGTGGAAGGCACTTCTTTGCTCTCCCTGGTGCACGAAGCCAGGGTCAGACTGACATTCTCATCTCTGGACAGCCTAAGCTTGGCACCTCAAACCCAGCTATCGCCAGCGCCCAGGAGGGATGGCCAGCGTTCAGCATCCTCTGGCCACCGATCCCAGGGCTGTCGCACCAGCTGGGCTGGGGTTGGACGTGATGCTCCGGCTCCAGCCGGGCTTTTGTCTCCCTCTGCTGATCCACTGATGCCAGAAGAAAGCCCACAGGCACCCCCAGCCCCGCGCCTCCCCAGATCAGCCCATCGGACGGGGAAGCCTGTTCCCAGCAGGACTGTCCTGCTTTGGGGCACCTCATGGCTGCTGTCCCCTGGGGATGGCCCCCACTTGGGATGGTGCCCCCACGGCAGAGGTACCCAAAGGTCCTACGCTCCTGGGCGGGGGCTGAGCCCAGCATCCCACCCCATGGCCCGGTCAGCCGGGGGATGCTCAGGAGGTTGTGCCCCAAAGCCTTATGCGCCTGCTGCCAAATGAGCTCCACACCAAATACACGAAGCTCCAAATTGGAACGAGTAGATCAGCACAGGGGACTCAGTGCTCCTCGGGGGAAGCCTCATCCACAGAGATAAGCCTGCCTGCCCGCCTGCGCTCCCGGGGCCACCGATCCCAGCCGTGCTGGGGCTGTCCTGCCTGTGTCCCCATTGCTTCTCGCCCAGGCAGGCTTGCCTGCATCCTCCTCTTGTCCTTGCGGAAACAGTCAGCATTCCCAAAGCTTTCCAGGCCTGTTAGGGCCACCTCAGTTCAGGCACCTTCCCTGGAGACACCTCTTGAGCCTGAGCTGCATTTCCCTCTGCTTCATCCCTTCAGATTCCTCTGTGTCCTCCCCCACACAAACCCCTCTGGTCCATCCCTGTAGATGCACATCAACTGCAAATGCATACCTCGCTTTGGGAGAGAGATTGACTCAAGAGCTTCACACCAGATTGTGATCTGCAGTCCTAATAAAGCAGTTTTCAGCTAGGAAGAGACTTCTAGGCTGGTTCTGCTGGCCAGGCATGCTCAGCAGCTTTGGGGCTCTCTTGCCCGTGCTGGCTCTGGATATCGCCGGGGCAGAAACTGCCTCTTGCCATTTGCTGAGCTCTTACTACAGCTGGGATCTGGTCTCAGCTCTGCGCTCTAATCCCAGGTATAAACAGCAACAGACAACAGCAGCCACTGCCCAAAACAGGCAGCGATGGGTACGAGATGTACCTACCAAAGGGGTGCTCGGGCTCTCTGCTGCGAGGACGACCAGCGGGCAATGGCTGAGAACCCAAAGCCATCCTCGCTTCCCCCAGCACCCCTGTGCTCTACTGGCACTGCAAAAATAATGTCCTCAAGCAGAGTTTAAGGCAGCTTTTAAGACACCTTAACCTTTACAGTAGAAGTGGAGAGGAGGAAGGAGCACAATAGATACTGGCAATTTATTTTGAGCCTCCTCATGAGAAGCCGTGCCAGGGAGCCATCCTTCCTTCGGTCACCGCCACAGCTGAGCAATCGCTTTTTGAGGTGCACAGACACAAGGGGCACGGGGAAGATTCTTGCTCCACACAAAGGCGTTATCTAATTAGGGAACAGCCAGAGATCGAGCCGTGGCAGCCAGCTACCATCTTCACTGCGGCAGGAGATGCTCTGGGGATTGACAGGCAACTTCCCGGCTCATTAACCCTGCCTGCGACTCCGCAGGCGGTGCCACAGCTGAAGTGCGCTTTACTTTCAGGAGCAAGATACTCCCGGGAGAAACTTCCCTCAAAGCACAGTGAGCATCCCGGTGAGGGCGGGGAGGCAGAGCAGTGCACCGTAGGGAACGGGTATCCTCAGGAAAATTGGGGTGCCAGCCATTTTGGGGTTGGGGCAGGGGGCTGGGGGCTGCACCCACGCCTGAGTACCCCAGGCAGGGGTACACACCCCACCCCAGAGGCCAAGGTGGATGGCAAGGGCTGGGCTCAGCTGCTCCTGCAGAATTTCTACAGAATTCCCCTAGGAAAAGGGTTTTCTGTTAGATTTCAACCGGAGTTATGAAATAGCGTCAATTCCCGGGTCTTTCAGCAGCAATTCAAAAGCATTTTATGTATTCTAGAAAATGAAAACCTGAACTTCACCCTGTATCCAGCAGTGAAATTCAAAGGGGGAACCTTTCTCTGCTGTTCAATACAATGAGAGACGCTATATATAAACTCACAAACCAATTGGTAATTTCCAGAGTCGTTAACTCTGCTGGAGCTCTCCTTTCACTCCAGCTGATTTTGTTCAACTACTGAGTTAATGCATGAAAATCTCAGCGATAACTTTTTAAAGATGCTGGGTTCAGTTTAATCCCCCTGGAAGGCGATAATATCAGCTTCAGCCCGCCATCCGGAGAAACCCTCCTACTCTAATTTCGGCGTGGGATGGAGTCCCCTGTGCTCCTTGTGCGGCAGGGGCCTGGTGGAGACCTCCCGAAGGGTGGGGAGTCCCCCCCCAGCCCAGGGCCCTTGGGCAGGAAAGCTTTTTTCCTACAGTCAAGGCATTTACACCCAAAAAAAAAGCCACAAAATTTCTACCAGCTATTTCTTCCGCACAGGACCGGATTGTTTTTTGTAAACTCAAAGCAAAATGCAAATAAATTAATCACGCTCCTGAAAACAGGAACATTTATACACCTTTCCCAGGGGATAAGTATGTTCCTACGAGATGTTATCGCCTTGCCACAGGCGTGACGGGGGAGGGTGTGGGGAGGGTTATAACTCACCGGGGGGGACTAAAATGCAACGTGTTGGACAGCCTGCAACAACGGATCAGCCTTTGGCTCCCCCGTGCCACTGTCCCCCCCGCAAGGGACACTGGGCACGCTGTGGGTTTTCGGTACCCGGAGCAGAGCATGCACTGATGGTGATGGTTTGGAGGATTAATCTGAGTTGGGCAAAATCTGTGGCTTAGCTAAACTGCCCTAAACCCTGGCGAGGCTCTTGCTCTCAAATCAAGAAGCCTTAATTTGATTTAGCAGCAATCCCTTCAGCAGCCAGCTGCATTCGAATTAAAGCCACTTTAATTCCGAATGAAAAGTGTCTGCGTGCAGCTTAACCCAATTTCACTAATATCCATCCTGCCTCCAGCTCCCTGTTTTCCTGCTGCCTTCTACAAGATTTACTTCTGTGCCTTCATGCCCTTCATCTCCCATCACCCTCTTTCATCTCCCACCTGCCCGAGAGCCAGAGCGAACGCTCGGCACGGTCCCTCCCCGCAGCCGGCTCCTCCGGGTGGGACAGGGATGCCCTGGGACCGCTACCTGCCCAGCTTTCCCATGGGAAGGCTGGGGTACAAACTCAATCCCCTCTTCCAAAGGGGTGGCTTTGAATTGGGACATAGAAAGCAATATTTCATGCGAGGTAAACATAAATAGGAAACCAAGGCTGAGCTCCTCGAGCAAACCTTGCAAAAGGTTTTTTTCCCCCAATACCAAAATTTGCCGGTCGCATGTTTCCCCAGAACGTTTCTCCTTTGACAAAACGATACCTCATGGTCACCAACTCTTCTATCCAGGGTGTTTCAAGCAAGCTAAATCAGCAGCTTCACACATGACAATCTCCCCAAAGAACTGCCACCACTGCCTTTTCCCCAGGGATGGCGTCAGACCATGGAATCCTCACTGGGCGAGGGTGGGTGGGTGGGTATCGAGAGATGTGTCAGGCGCTTTTCTCGCTGCCCCGCACCAGGCGAGACGGAGGAGTGAAATGAAGCAGACAGCGCTGCAAAACCTCATGGCAAGCCCCAGGGACTGATCTGCCCCCTTGCAACACAGCCAACGACACCAAACGGCTTTAGGCTGAGCCTTCCTCAGGTTTAGGTTGGACATTAGGAAAAATTTCTTCACAGAAGGGTTGTCAGGCTCTGGAATGGGCTGCCCAGGGAGGTGGTCAAGTCCCCATCCCTGTGGGTATTTAAAAGAAGGGTAGACGAGGTGCTTAGGGACAGGGTTTAGTGGTGGGATGGCAGGGTTAGGTTAACGGTTGGACTCGATGATCTTAAAGGGCTTTTCTAATCTAGACGATTCTATGATTCTATGATTCCTCCCTCGACACCTCCGAGCGGTGCCACGCATTGTGATAAACCCACCGCTGTGGGTCCCGGCAGCGGCGCTGGGCTGCCAGCCGGGGCACGGGGCTTGCTGAGGACTGTCGCGCTCAGGACAGCACCCACGTGCCTGCCCCGTGCTCCGCAGGCTGGCAGCGCAGGCAAAGCGAGCTCACCTCCATCTGCAAAACACCGCTCCAGCACTGCCTCCCCCGGCGATGCGTCGGGGGGCAGGAGCAGGCCAGCACCCCCCACCCATGACTCCCCACCGGGCACCCAAGCCGGGCAGCACTGCTGGTTTCCACCAACACCCCCAAAGAGCTGCTCACCCCCTTGCTCTGACACCAAGGGGCTCAGCCCGAGGCATTAGCGTGGGGCATTACCATTTCTGCGCTTTTCTTGCACAACCGCCATCACGAGCCCTGAAGTCTGGGCAAATGCAGGATGATCTGCGCTCGTACAGAAAGCTTAAGGTTGTCAGGCTTCTCCTGTGATCAAATGCACCGGCTCCAAATGCAGCCCTTACTGCCAGCACTTGACACGCTTTACGTTAAATCGCCCCCTATTTTTTTATGAGCAGGGGGAAATGGAGGGCATCTAGAGTGTCAGATAAATCTCTATCACCGGTGCTCGCCCCTAATCCGCGGGAGGCATCTCTCGTTACTCCGACAGCACTGCAAAGCCAAGTCACCATGTCCCTTCCCCAAGCTCAGCCCAGGCTATGACACTGCCAGGCAGGCTCAGAGAGCAGGCTGGCACCTGACAAGCAAACGGGGAGGAAAACACCCCAGATTTTGGACTTTTCCAACCAAAAAACCCAAGAAAACCTCCCGGCTGCCCACTGCAGCAATGTGGAGGCAGAGGGGTTCCCTAGCAGAAGCTGCTCGGCAGGCAGTCACTCCAGTGGACAGGCATCCCCGGGGAGCTGGAGGGCTGGCCCCTTCCTACCGTGCATCCTGCGGCCGTGGCGAGTTTGTGGGTGGAGAAAGGGAAGGCCTCGTTGCTGAGGTCGGTGTCAAGCACTTCTTGGAGGACGAGGCGGCTGTGGGGAAACAGCAAAGCAGCCGTGGTGAAAGGACGCAGCTCGCCAGCCTGCTCTGAGGGTTATCACTAAAACTTCCTTTCTCATCTTGTTGGCAAGGCTTCTCCCTCCAAAGGGGAGCTCATGTGGGTGATATGCCATGCTCTGAGAGCCTCGAAAGAAATGCCGATTCCCCAGCAAACAGTGCCGCTCCAGCCTATTGCCATGGGGCTCACACCTACCCCTGCCCAACATGGGGACCTGGCCTGTGTCTGAGGCATCCCTCCCTCCATCCCTGTATCCCTTCCTCCATCACTGTATCCCTTCCTCCATCCCTCCCTCCATCGCTGCACCCCTTCATCCCTCCATCCCTGCATCCCTCCCTCCATCCCTGCATCCTTTCATCCCTCCGTCCCTGCATCCCTCCCTCCCTTCCCGCATCCCTCTCTCCATCCCCGTATCCCTTCCTCCATCACTGCACCCCTTCATCCCTCCATCCCTCCCTCCCTTCCTGCATCCCTCCCTCCATCCCTGCATCCGTCCCTCCATCCCTCCACGGTCAGGGTGCAAGGAGGGGGTCACGACACTACCCCTGCACCCACCTCAGGGGGCCCTGG